TATATGAGTGTTCATTCTGAAGAAGACGGAACTTCTGAAGACAAAGAAAACGAATTCTTTGACACACCAGACAGTTTTGGTCCTGTGGACTCTCGACCTAAAGAAGGTGATTCCATTTTGGTGTAATTTAACGTTGGTACCAGAAAGATCTTCTACGTAGCAAAAGTGATCGGAGAAGGGAGCAAAAGTGAAGTGGAAGTAAGTTATTTGCGAAAATCCTCAAAAATAAGAAATTCCTTCCTACAAATTCGATATAGACTTTTCTCGAATAGATTTGCGTTAGTTGCTTGATATACTTATCCATTATTGTTTTATCATTTGAGGATGTTATTTTGTTTTCAATTAACAAAGAATACTTATGCAGCTAAAATCTGATTTTAAGATTGTCTTGAGAATATCAAAGTATTTTTCAGTTGTCTAGTAACCAAAGATATCGCCACGATGCGTGAGCCTTTGGCTCCTATCTTGGTTATAAGTCAAGATTGTTAAGTTAAATAAACTCGAATATGTACGCTAACTGTAATGTAACCATAACTATAATATATTTTTAATGAAGTAAAATGTGTTTTAATTCAATCAAGCATATCTTACGTTTAAATGTGTCATATAGTAATTTAGTACATTGCATACTAATAGATATTCACTGTGCCGCCTGATGATTCACAGTACCCCAAGCTCAAATCGATAGTGCACCAGAGTTGGGGTACAGTGGATAAATTTCCACTTTTCATAAAATGTTTCTTAAAAAAATGTTTTCTTTAATAGTTGTTTTGATAATACTTGTCATAGTTCAATTTAATAATAATAATAATAAGCGTTTATTGCCCAAAAGTTTAACACCATTTACAGAGCAAACTACTATAAAAAAAAGAAAATCACCATGATGTAGCTTGTGAAGAAAAAAAACAATAATAATTACAAGTCCATGTATCAATAACAAAAAATAAATATAGCTACAGCTTAAAAATAAGAAACGTGAGATAAATCAAAAGTGAGCACGCAATTTTCACTTCAATTCACCTATGCTACATAAGAATATGTCACATACATCGGCTATTTTATTCGCATTCACACACATCATGTTGACAGACGCTTTCGACAATAAGTTTGTTTGAGCTCTTTAGCTCTTTAGATTTACAATTCCTGATAACGAAGCCATAGGTTCGGTAAGCGCTTGAAATGATTTGATTGATATGCTCATTAAAGGTTAGATGTTGATCAAAGTAGATACCTAAGTCTTTCACAGTTTCACTGCGCTCAACAACATGTTCGATCATTGTATAATTATATATCAAGGGGTCCTAAATTCGAACCCTGTGGTACGCCACTGGTTGAGACATAAACATGTGATATTTAGCCATTATAAAAAACATACTGTTTCCTTTCAAACAGATATGATGTTAAGAGCGCTAAGTAAATGTTGTTGAAGCCTAGGTACTCAAGCTTTCGGAGCAAAATACTGTGGCTGACCCTATCGAAGGCGTTGGAGAAATCGGTGTAAACCACATCTACCTATCCTCTATTATCTAATCTATCGCACAAATATTGGCTAAATACCATTAAGTTTGTTAATGTTGAACGCCTTATAAAACCATATTGATCGATGGAAATATTATTTTTATTGGACAGGTATAAGCGGTTGTACAGTACGACCTTCAAGAGTTTTGCAAAATTATTGAGTATACATATAGCCCTATATTCACTGATACAGTGATAATTTTTTTACTTTGGAATTGGGCAAACTTTGGCAATTTTACATTTATCGGGGAAAACAGTCGTTGTTAGGATTAAATTGAAGATAACCCGTAAAGGATGAACTAATTTCCTGATACAATCTCTAACAATAAAAGATGGGATTTGCTCAATTCACTTTTAAGCTTTCTACAGGCCACTAAAATTTCCTCATTTGATATTGGCTCACAACTAATATCGACGAGTCCACTATGACTGAAATCAAGGTTCAACTCAGTATCGACATCAGCAGTTGAGTAAACGCTGGAGAAAAAATCAGCGAAGGCGTTGACTATACTTTGCGGATCACCAAATGACTCGTTACCATACAGCATTCTATTGGGAATCCTATTAGTGTTGTTTTGACTATGTACGAAAGACCAGAAAGACTTAGGGTCATCATTTTTGAATGGTTTAAAGATAGATATTATATGCCTCTTTGGTTTTAAGCTTAAACATTTTCCTGAGTCTGTAGAATTCTTGGTAATCTTCGTTAGCACCAGACCTTTTAAATTTTGTGTGCGCTTTGTCTTTTTGTTTTACTAGTTTCATAATTTCACTGGTGTACCAAGAACGTGTGCATCAAATAATTCGTAAAGTTTGGTATAAAATGCATTAATTGCATCATTTGTGTCACTAGTGTTATCCAAGAAATCCCAATTAACCAATAACAAAGAATTATACAGCGAAAAAAAGTTAGCACGTCTAAAATTATATTTTTTTTGGTCAGTAGTGACTGTGGCGTATTCACTCTTTTTGCAGACAGTTTTTAATGTTACAAACAAAGAAGGATGATATGCGTCTTCATCCACTAATGGAGCTAAATCTCTATAAACAATACAATCAATGTTACTTATTACCAAGTCCAGGATTCTATCATATTGGTTATGAATATTATTATACTGTTTCATGTTCCAGAAGTTGAGCCAATTAACAATGTAGCGGGTCTTTGCGTCATTTAAATTATATATTTTCACAAATTTTGGAGAACTGAAATCACCCAGAAAGACAACACGTTTGGAATGCATGATTTCTCAGTTTTCTAACATTTCAAAAAGAGCTTCAAATATATCAACAGAAACATGTGGTGCAGCATATATAACAGCGAAATAAAGATTCTGATGAGATACAATGCATTTGCATACCAAAAAATCTATTTCTGGTAAACTTGTATCAAACTCCGTAGTATCTACTACAACAGAGTTAAGAGCCGATTCAAATGCGAGTAGTACCCCACCACCCATTGACAGGTTCAATTGATTATGTTTTCTGTCCTTACGATGAACGTCAAAAGAATTGGGAAATAATTCGAGAGAGTTTAGTTCGGGCTTTAGCCATGTTTCGCTTAAAGCAAATAATTTTATTGTTTAGCCCTCTAACATTCTGATAGTACACGGTCAAAAGATCACTACATTCACTATTGGGCCGACCTAGTTTAAAGGAACAATCCTTGCTACATTGTTGATGAACTTGATCCTACAGTTATTATCTCCTGCTTCATGACGACTGGCTAACTGAGTTCTGATACTTTTATAATGCTCCGTTTGCCTTTTGGTGCGATCCTGTACGATGTTTACATGCTTGAAGGTATTACTTGATTTAAGCTTTTTCGCATTCACCAGAACTTGCAATGCTGAGTCATAGCTGTCAAGTATTACCTTGATGGGTCTAACTTTTGTGCCGCAAAACATTCCTAATCTCATCACTTTTATGTTGGTTAGCCTCACGTCAGGGACAGCTTCACGTAACAAGTTGACGACAACTGTTTTATCAGATTTATTTTGCTCACTTCTAGCATTATTTTGATCAGGCTCAGTGACATTAAAGACTATTACGTTGTTTCTACGTCTTTCTGAAATCTCGGGTATGATGTCTTCCATGGAAAAACTTGAATCTGCATTTTCAAATCCCTGATTTGATTACGCAAATCGATGATTAGTGCCTTCAAGTCATTAATGTCTTTACCTATGGATCTGCAGTCCTTACAGGTCCAATCGTACCCCTTGCTCGAATTTAAAGTACGAACCTCATTTGCGCTGATTTCCACACACGAATGCTTGTATTTCTGCTTACAAACACAGCACGTAACAATGTGATGAGGCTCACACTGTTGATTACAGCAGCTGCAAGGGACTCTAGCTGGCATAATTCTGAATTTTGTGTGCAAATGTTTGTTTTCCAAATCAACTCAAGTACACCACTGGAAACTATTTCCACTTTGTTTCAATGAAAATTACAGAAATTCAGCCAGAGATTATAGAAGTTAGCTTTCTTTTATTATCAAAGAACTGTGTTAAACTATTAAAGGTGAACTAGAAAACTTGCCCAGTGCTCAGAAATTACGTGAGCGTAATTATGATACTCGCAAACAAATTTTCAATTGGGTCTCACTACCGATCTTAGAAGCTATAACGGAGCTAGTAAAACACGTATTTACACCTTTGATATGAAACGCTGAACTTCCTATTGTAAGTGAAATGTACGACATAGCTTTAATATTAGCAGTAGAACCTGAGAGGAAAAAATTGATCTGCTCTGCCCCCTGCTCCCCTACTCCTGGAGGACATTTCTGTCATTAGAGTTCACCTTTACCCAGATGATGCCATAAAAAAAGCTATAATTTATCTACATTTTTCATTTTTTGTCACGTTCAAGCGGTCGTTGGAGTTTTATCTTTATATAGCAAAAACACGTCCTGCTATAATTGAACCACGAAGGTCTTAATTTATGTTGGCATTCAAAGAACACGTTTGGTAAACAGTATGACGTAGGCAAATGTTTGCATGAAAATATACGGACCAATTCAAAATAAAAAAGTAGAAAGCTTTTATACAGACATCCTAAAAACATCAACAGCCAAACCAGTTTTTCGTCCAAATGGGATAGTCTGAGAGATCTATCAAAAGAGACGATTCATGAAGAGATGAATAGTGTATTGAAAAATATTATAGAAGTATCCAAAAAGTTAGTGGCGTAGAAAATATAATTATTTAGCAGTGATGGTTTGACCCCTTTCCAAAAACTCATAATGGACAATTGCAGTTGCTGTCCAGCAAACACACAACAAAACCTTGTTTGGGTGCAAGGAAGCCTTGGGCGTGTGTGATTACGAATCAGTAGGCGACAACCAATGATACGAACGCTTAGAATTCGAATACATTTTTCGTCGCAGGTTAATATCCGATTAAGAAATGGTTCATTAGCGTTGCGTGAAATGTTTGCTGAACAAATGATAAGACGACTTAATTTCTTATCATTTATCGGTTCATGTGGGACCCATTTGCTTAACTTCCACGTCTTTCCTAGCTGTTGAAGATGCAAATGAATAGTTTCAGGACTCACTCTGAACATTTCTGCAAGTTCTTGGCACGTTGTTCTGGAATTTGCGTCCATAGCCTGTCGAAGATCCTCGTTGTTCATGATTTTTTGCCTCCCTGAGCGCGGTTCCTCGCTCAAACAGATCTCCCGAAGAACATTTTTTGAACCACTTCTGTGCTGTTCGATCACTAACGGCAACATCTCCGAATGCGGTACATATTTTTCGCGCCGCCGCTGCAGCTTTTGTACCAAGTTTGTACTCATACAGTAAATAATTTCAAATTACTGTTCTATCCGTCGCCATTTTCAATTATTAAAAGTAGGTATGTAATAATTTTTAGCAATTCTTTATGTGTGTGAGAAACGAAGGATTTATACTAAAGTGACAACAGGTAACAAACTATCGCTATATACAGCAACCGTACCAACTTATTCGGTTACCTAATATTTACCGTTACTTACGGGACACCCTGTATATACACTAGTCGTAGTTTTAAATAAATTAGTAGCATTCCTGAACTGCAATGTAATGCATTCTGAAAACAAAATCCATCGATTTGACTGATTCCATTCAGAGTCGTCAGATTCGTCAAAATCTAGATTGACAATGCCTTTAATGGTCAATCGATTATTTCTAACCACCTCTTCTTACTATAGTTTTTAATTTGTTTATTGTGCTTACAGTCGACAAGGACAAATTGGTAAAATGGCGCGTCCGTAACCGCATGTTACGATACGACAAAGGATAATTTACGTGTGCGATTTCAAAAGTAACAGATAGCTCAATTAGAGAAGTTTTTTTTACAGATACAGTATCCGGCGGAATAGTGGCTTCTACTTTTGAACAAAGTGAGCCCTAGATCATCAGTTTCCTCATTCCAAGCGGGCTCAGACATATTGTCTTTATAGTTGTTTTATACTATTCTATAGATTGTCTAGGCCATTGTCTACGTATTGTTTACAGGTTTACACAATAGTCTGGATTGAAACGTAGACACTTAAATTGTCGTCATTGTGGGACACCCTCAACACCTGTAGTTTCATTTAATGGCCATTAAAACACGTAGACCAGTATTAACATATCTAAGCTCCTCATAGCAGCCGATGTGCCCTGGTATTTAGGGCTCTGCCAGCTCGGCTGCCTTGTTATTAAGAGAAGAGCCCAAAATTTGCACATGAAACGTTTTTGGTAGGACAGCAAGTATGTTCAATTGTTTCGATCTCGAGTAAAACGACACGCCTTTCAGTGAGACTTTTTATCGTTTTCCGCATGATCATTTTAGCTTTTGACAGGAATGGATCCTGTTTCAGCTGATTCTTAGACGAATTTTTTATATGAACGACGACAGATATGTATGTGGCTGCAAAAAATTATTTAAAAAAGTTAAAATGAATAAAAAATACTCCCGAAGCAATATTATTTGTTCAACGATTATTTTCTGCATTGAAAAAATTGTATTTTTAATAGCTAAAATAGATTGCATTCATACATTTTTCAAGTACGATTGAAAGAGCACTCATTAAAATCCTCTGCACTGCACGCTGGAGACTTCAGCCAATAGGAATTTATTTTTATTTGGGATATGGTTATAGAACAGAATGTGATCGTACACCATGGTATCAACATGTCAACATTTGAAAGAAAAAGCTTTCTTTCTCTCTAGCCACAGCTTAATCCCAATTAGTAAAAACATGAGTCGCGCTATGGCTTATTACGTCACAGTCTTGACAAAAAGTTGTTTGAGCTTTGAGCTTGGCAATTCTCTTTCAAAGGTTAAGTATACCTACTGGAGATAAAATGTTGATGATCCTGCCAAAAAGGATAATTTGTATAATACAGTGAAACGGATCTTCTGGTCCGTCTCCATACCTTGCTGATGTTTAGACCTTTATGGCATCTTTTTCAGAGCACAAGATCAAACAAATTTAGAAGAAATGATGTCGAAAATAAACTTAGCCGTCAATTATTTGTCTTTCAAGTGGCAGAGTTTGTTCGTGCCACTGGCTAATCTATGTACGAAAAACTTCCCTATAGAACTTTGATCGGTCACTTCTGGATATGATCAATTAAAAGACAAACTTTTAACCAGAATCGTCAATTACTTCATAATCTGACAATTCACTCATAGGTTTCTCCGCACGTCACTTTGCCCACAACAGATGTACCAAGTCAATCTACTTGACTCTACTTTTTATTACCAGAGAGGATGAACGTGTGAAGCCGATAAAAATTTTTTTTTTTTTTTTTATTTGTAAATACAGAAGCCGCATCGACCCAATTGGCCATTAGCGGCGGATTTAATAAATTACAGTTTACTTAGATATTTGCATTTTTGTAGAAATTTCAGGAGGTTTGTGAGATTGCTACTTGGTCCTAGTATAACTGATAGTTCTTTATCAAGGTTACATGATATTCTGTAATGTTCTAACATTGGGCACTCCACTAAAATATGTTCAACAGTTAAAGTCACGTCACAAAACACACAATAGGGTTCCGGTTGCTGCATGATTAGGTATTCATGTGTTAATCTGGTGTGGCCCAGACGAAGACGGCTTAAGATTGTCTGCTGCCTTCTATTGGAGGTGATGGTCTGCCATGGACTTAGATGGTGTTTTACCTTCAATAGTTTGGCTGATTTATTTTGCCATGCATTGTTCCAGTAATCAATGGTTCGATTTTGGTAAAATAGTTTCACATCTGATGTAGGAACTTTCTTGTTTGTCACTGTGTCCATGTTCGCAGCCATTTTTGCGTTCTCGTCAGCTATTTGGTTGCCCTGTATATTTTTGTGTGATGGCACCCATATTATGGTTACTTCTTTATTTTGTAGTGCAAGGCTATGTATTTCCATTTTTATAATATTGACCAGTGGATTATTGTTATATATTTTTGTGATCAGTGTAACTGAGTTAAGGGAGTCGGTAATGATGACCCACTTCCGACTGGAGCTTAGTTTGATGTATTGCATAGCTTCTCTAATTGCATACAATTCGCCAGTTAGTATTGAGGCTGTTTCGGGTAGCTTGAATTTCATTGGACCTGAAGGAGTAACTACAGCGGCACCTATGTTTTGTCCAATCTTCGAGGCATCTGTGTATAATTGTTGAGCTTCTGTAAATTCTCCAATAATAGTTCGGAAATGTTGATTTACTACTTCGTTTGGTGTATTGGTTTTGTCGAATTTTGTAAGAGTTGTGATACTGGCTGGCTTGTATAGTGTCCATGGTGGAATAGTTACTGGGAAGATGGGAAGTGTGGATGGTGGATTTTGTATGTTGAGTTTTCTTAGGTAAATTTTAATTCTATTCTGGAAAGGGGTACCCCACAGCGTATCTCTATAATTTCTTTTAGTGGATAGATATTTTTGAGCCGACATATTAAGATTGCTGATTTTCTTGTTGAAGTAGGAAAGACTTAGTATCTGACGTCTGGTATGTAGTGGCGCTTCTCCCGATTCGCAGTACAGGCTATCGACTGGAGTTGTTCTGTATGCTCCCAGGATCAATCGCAAGGCGGTGTTGTGTAAAACATCTAGGGGTTTTAGAGTTGAGGGCTTAGCTGAGTTGTAAGCAACACATCCGTAATCCATTTTTGATCTTATTAATGCTCTATAAATCATAAGTAGCAATTTACCTTCTGCGCCCCAATGTCTATTAGATAAATATCTTAACATATTCATTCCTGCCTGGCATGATTTAATGACATTTGCGATGTGTTTCTTCCAGTTTAATCTGTTATCGAAGGTTACCCCAAGAAATTTGATTTCACTGGTATATTCCAAGGATTTCTTGCATAACTTCAATGGGGGTTCTTCGTGAATCGGTTTTCTAGAGAATATAATGCATTTGGTTTTCTCTGGGGAAAACACAAATCCTGTTTGATTGGACCAGTAATCAAGCTTGTCAAGATACTTTTGCAGTAGTGTTATATTTGTTGTTAAGTTCTTGCCTCTGACATAAACAATCATATCATCTGCGTACAGACGTGCTTGCAAAGGTTTCTCAATATCTTGTAACACATCATTGATTGCTATTAGGAAAAGGGTTGGACTAATAACAGAGCCTTGAGGTAATCCGTTCGTTTGCTGTTTTGGTTCTGATAGCACTCCATTTGACCGTACTTGAAAGATTCTGTTTTGTAGGAAGTTAGAGACAAAGGATAATATGTTACCATTGTACCCCCATTTATGAAGTTTCGAGATGATATTGTATTTCCAGGTAGTATCGAATGCTTTATTAATGTCGAAATAGATTGCTACACAGTGTTGGCTGTCCGAGAAGGCTTCGTGTATATGGGTTTCCAAATCTATTATGTTGTCTGTGGTGCTTCTGTTTGATCTGAATCCAGCTTGTTCAGATATTAGCAGGTTCCTGTGTTCTAAGCTCCATATTTACTATCTTTTCAAGCAGCTTACACATACAACAGGTTAAAGATATCGGTCTATATGATTCAGGGAGTTGTGGAGATTTGTTAGGCTTGAGCACGGGAATAGTTATGGCTTGTCTCCAGACCTCAGGGAATACATGGTTGGTCCAAATATTATTGAATAAATCTAGTAAAAGTTTCCTAGCAGACAACGGAAGATGTTTCAAAAATATGGCTGGTATGTCATCGGGACCGGCGGCCGTATCTTTGAGATCGTTTAGTGCTTCTGTAAATTCAGATTCTGATATGGGCGTATTAATTGGTTCACTGTCATCTTCTATTATAATTTGTTTTGATTCTGAAATTGCCTTATAGCTTAGAAATCCGGCCGGATAGTTCTCGACACTATAATGGGAATAGTACGTTTTAGACAATACTTCTGAGATTTGTTGGCTACCTGTAACATTTCGGTTTCCCTCTTTCAGACATTTTATAGCTGAGTAAGTCTTGCCCCCGGATATGTTTTTCACTTTTTTCCACACCTTTGAAATGGGTGTATCGCTAGTAATGCTACTGACGTATGATTGCCATGATAATTTTTGGCTTTTTCTTGTTGTGAGCTTCAAATAAGCCTGTCTGCTGCGTAACTCCATCAACGTGTTGATATTTTTATGCCTCTTGTGTCTGTTGATAGCTCGTTTACTGGATTGAAGTGCTGCTTCGCATTCATTGTTCCACCAAGGGACTGGATTTCTTTTCCTGATGTGGTTAGTTTTCCCCATACTGCGATGTGCGGCATCTGTGATGACCTTGCTGAATTGTTCAATTATGGAATTAATGTCATCCTCGGGGAATATTTCTTGTCTTAGATTATTTTCTATATGAGTCGCAAATTGGTTCCAGTCTGCATTTTGCAATCTCCATTTAAGGGGTGGCATTGTCTCATTGTTATTGCAGAACTTTGAGTTAGTAATAACTATTGGAAAATGGTCACTTCCATATAAGTCTTCTTGTGTATTCCATTGTAGGTGGCTAAGGAGCCTGGGAGAACATATGCTAAGATCGATAGCGGAGAATCTGCCCGT